GCGGGACTCGATCCCGGGACTCCAGGATCATGACCTGAGCCGAAGGCAGTCGCTTAACCAACTGAGCCACCCAGGCGCCCCAAACTGCAGGCATTTAAAACACAGATGAAGCTTCCGGAGAGCAGGAAGCATGCCACACCTGCACCCCAAGCCCAGGGCCTGCCCCAGAACAGGCCCTCAGTAAAATTCGTGAATAATGGATGCAAAGTGAGCAGCCCGGCAGCCCCTTGGAGGCAGTGACGGCGGATGCGGAGGTGGTGGCTGCAGTTTTCTACTTTGGGGAGCCAGGAAGCTGCTTCCTCTCGTTTCACATGATGGACAGAAGTGGAGACCTAACTGACCTCTCCCCATACCCAGTCCCCAAACCCAAATCTGAGCACCCTGGCCAGCAGGTGGGAAGGACAGGAGAAGAAGAGGGGAGCGTTAGGCCGCGCACTCACTGCCCCAGAGCCGACGGGGAGGGGAGGGGAGAGGAGAGACCCTGACCACTCAGTGCACGTGGCAGAGTGTCTGAGGTTAAGGTGGCCTTTCAAGTCCATGGAATCCTGGCAAGTCACCTTTTCCCTCCGAGCCTCTGTATTTTCCAGCTGCAAACAGAAGGGAGGGAACAAGAACAGGTACATTGTAAAGGGCAGTTCCTGGCATAAAGTACTCAAGATGGTTTGCTGTGCTGCCGCTGGGTTGTAAGCTCCGTGAGGTTAAGAGATCTTCCTTGGCCTCACATCCACACAACTGGCAAATTGTTAGACTCTTAGATGCTCAGCCAGTACTGGTTGATGAATTATTGAATGGATGAATGAAGGAAAGACCTTTTAATTAGGTTAGTCTCTCCCTAATGGCCTCCAGAGCCTGCCTCCCACCAGACTGCCCTTTGCCTTTACCCTGAAATTTACCATCTGTGTCACCCTGGGCAAATGACTTGGCCCCTTCATGCCTCAGTTGCCCCATCTGTAAAGTGCGATTAACAACGGCAACCTCCTCACGGGGTCGTTGTGAGCACACACTGCCCTTGGAGCCGTGTCTGGCAGAGAGGCAGCGATCAATAAGTGTTGGCCATGAGCATTATTTTAACCCGATTTTAACCATTTCTTCATTCGGACCAATCAGATAAATATCACTCTACTTCATGGGATCAAGTGGTGCTCTTCCATCCTTCCAGACGCCTGATTGGGATCATGCCATAAACGGACTATTTTCTGCTCTCCAGGTTCCCACAATGAGGTCCACACAACCTCATGGCCATTTTCCCCAGTGGAGTGAGCTTTTTTAGAAATGACATTCTCAGCTGTGGAACTAGTAGGTGAAGTTACTCCATCACTGGCAACAGTGGGGTGATCATGCATGTGTGATCGTGGGTGAAGCCCATGACCCTGCAAAGCCACCATGAGGACTGTCCACTTTTCCTTCAGGCTGCCCCTCATTCTTCCATTCTCTCCCCTGACCTCTTTGGTTGTCCTTGTCTTGGTCCATTGCATCCAAGACACCTACCCTGCTGTCTCTCGCTCACCGGGTCTCTCCCTTCTCCTAATTCCTTTTGTTCTTCGGGGGCCACCACTGGACCACACTGTTGGATGCTTGGTCTCACCACCATTTCATTTTTCTTTACCAGTTCCCTGACCTTTGGACCTGTCTCCCCACCAAGATTCTCTTGTGGAGCAAAAGCCCAGGCTCCCAGTGCCTCCGAGCCTGCGGGGGCTCAGTCCCAGTGGAGCTGACCGCTCCCTGAGGAGGCACCAGGGCTTAGTAACTACACACCCCACTTCTTGGCATGACCCACCCTCCTGAATCGGGGGCTCCTAGACTCTAGTTCTGCCAGTGCACTGAGATACTCGAGACCACGTATGAGTGCATGAGAGAATTAGACTCACTGTTTCATGGGCAAAGTCCTAATTTTGAAATTAAAACTATCCCATCCATTCTCTCAGGAGGATGGGGAATGCTGAGGTTGGAGGACAGCAGGCAACCAGACATAGGGAGCAGCCCATTGGAGAGACCGTGAACTTGGCACAGGGGAGAACCTGCTCAGTTTCTTCAGAGGGTTGGGCATTTGCTGCCAAGCTGGTTTTCGGGGACCCCGGGAGCAGCACATATCAGAGGAGCGGAGTGAGAGACCCTACCTCGGGTGGCCAGTCCCAGCCTTAAAACAGTGGAGTAGATGGGGTGGAGAAGCCCCTGGGATCGGCCCCTCCATGGCTTCTTTCCCCTGTGTCCCAGCCTCAGGAGAACCCTGCTTTGTAATCAGTATCTTTTGTCTTTTCCATTTTTTCTAGTTTTGTTTTTGATTAAGTATCCCCACCTTGTGGACAATTAAATGCAAAAGCTAATGGTCTTTTAAAAAATCTTTTAATATATGCTAAGAGCCACTTAGCTTTTGAGAGGCTATAATGGGACAGGGAGAAAATGGCATCTTCTCCTAAATTTAGAAAGAAGGATGATCATCTCGTTGCTCTAAGGCGCAAGTCAGCAAACTTTTTCTTAAAGGGCCAGCTAGGAGGTATCTTGGGCTTTGTGGGCCATGTGGGTCTCTACTCAGCTCTGGCACCGTTATGCAAACACAGCCATAGACAGCACTTAAGTGGATGGGCTAGATTTGGCCCTCGGGCTGTAGTTTGTTGACCCCTTATCTAGACAACAGAGGACATAGGGGATCCTTATGCTTAAAGTCAGAAATATCTTTAAAAAGCCTTCTAGGCAGTGAAGACATCTACACAGGCATGCCTGGTTATCCCTCCCCCATTCACCTCTTCCTTGTCTTTTTTCAGGAAGAACCAAGTAACCATACCGCACTGGGATAAGTATTTTACAGGTGTCCCTTCATTCCAGCCTTGCACCAGGTAGGAAGCAGGTGTAGTTGTGGTCCCCACTGGGGCCCAGAGAGGTTAAGTCACCCGCCCAGGGTCCTCCCAGCTTGTCAGCAGTGGAGCCAGAATTCAAACCCAGACCCTTGGCTACACTGTTTCTGTATTTTTCTGGAATTGTTTCACTACAGAGAATATCATTTCAAACCTGTTTATGAAATACTTCCAAGTATCCACAAGTAGGATAAAAAGCAAGTTTCTATTTTCCTACCCCAGTAGAAAATTAAAACAAAAGGAAACATAGTGCCTATTGCAAGAGACAGAGAAGACAGGACACCACATGGAAGCATCAGAAATTGACAGCATAAAACAAAATGACAGCAGTAAGACAAACATATCAGTTATGACAGTAAAGGTAATTAAACTCCCTATTAAAAGACAAAGAATCTCAAACTGGGTTTAAAAAAATATGCTGCTTATATAGAAATACACGGGGCGGGGGAAGGAGATAAATTATCTACAGTGAGTGTGTATTCTCATTTTTACAGTAATACTTGGTGGTTGTAAAAAATTTAAGCAATACATAAGTGAGATAAAGTTCAAAGTGAAAATTCTCATTTCCCCATCCCACTCCCTAGAGGAAAATGGTTTGACTGTTTGGTGTAAACACGTCCACATTGTTTTTCTCTGTGTGTATACCAGATGTGTTACTTTTATAATCAGAAAATTAAAAAGTCCTATAAAAAAGACAGAAGGCCAGTTTTCCCCATTCCCACAAGAGGAATCCAAGTGATAGTTGTAGCTCATTTAGGCCTCCAAGGAAGAGGTAAGCATAGTTACCGAGTTTCTAACATTATCTCACTGAATCTTCTTGGCCACGCTTGTGAGAAAGATGTTATTATGCTCTAAGCACAAGAAAGCTGCAAACCAGCGAGGTGAATTGACCTGCCTGAGATCCTACGGCTGGTAACGGTTGAGAATTTACTATGTGTTAAATACGAGGCCAAGTGCTTTGCGTACGTTGTCCTTTTGAATCCTCATGACAACCCTAGGAAGTAAGTACTGTTATGGTCCTCATTTCACAGATGAGAAAGCTGAAGCACGGAGTAGTTATGTAACTTGCCCAAGGTCACACAGCTAAACGAATCAGAGAGTCAGGATTCCAATCCCAGTACTCTGATTCCAGACCACCACTTTGAATCCCCCAAGGAGGTCTGACTCCAGAGTTCACTCACCTGTCATGCTGCCACAAAATGGTAGTGTAGCAGGCCACAGGAAAAGGCTTTCACGACTTCTGGTCATTCACACGGGACACCTTGTCACCTAAAACCCCTCTGAGGCCGGTAGTCAGGGTGGGCATTCCCATGTCCATCCCCAGTGGCTAGCGACGCAGGCCCTGGAGCCAGCCCGCCC